CCAATTCTAAGGTGTGTGGGGTGGGTTCCCACATCAACAAGAAATTCTCAGACATCAGCTGGATGTTCTATAATCCACCTCAATTCTGACACTATCTACCTAGAGATAGCATCACATTTCACAGGTTAAGGGCTCAGTCCCACAAGACTTACCCCATCCCCACTTCAAATGCCAATCACAAGTCCAGGTTGTCACCTGGGCTTCTGATTGACAGGCTCTAGATTGGAGGTTCCAATGACCACCTCCTTGTGTTTGTTTGATTAATTTCCTAGAGCAACCAGAGAACTCAGAGAAACAGTTTACTTACTAGATCACTGGTTTATTATAGAAAGGATATAACTCAGGAACAGCCAGATGGAAGAGATGTGTAGAGCAAGATATGGGAAAAGGGTGCAGAGCTTCCATGCTCTCTCCAGGAGCACCACTCTCCCCAAATTTCCACAGGTTCACCAACCCAGAAGCTCTGAGAACCTTGTCCCTTTGGGTTTTTCTGGAGGCTTTATTACATAGATATTATTGATTAAATCATTGGCTGTTGGTGATTGAACTGCATCTCCAGCCCCTTTCCCCTTGATGGAGGTAAGTGGCGGGGGGGGACTGAAAGTTCCAACCCTCTAATCACATGGTTGGCTCCACTGGCAACCAGCTGCCATCCTTTGGTGATCTTGGGGCTTTCCAAAAGTCGCCTCATTAAGATAACGTAAGACAACTTTATCTCTTTACGCACAGGAAATTCCAAGGGTTTTAGGAGCTCTGTGCTAGAAACAAAGATGAAGACCAAGTATATATTTCTTATTATAAATCACAATATCACAAGCTATATGTCCCAATTTCTGAAAATCCAGCAGCTCATAAAACTTTTCTTCAGGTCTAGAACCAAAAGGCCAAATTCACAACCTTCTTTCTATGTTCAACGTGCTGTTTCTACCCACCCAGACCTCTAACCCCACATTGTCCAATAGAAATATAATATGAGCTGCATAGGTCCTTTTAAATTTTTCTAGTAGCCACATTTTTAAAAGGCAAAGAGAAACAGGTAAAATTAATTTCATTAAGGGGCCGGCCCCGTGGCTTAGCGGTTAAGTGCGCGCGCTCCGCTTTTGGCGGCCTGGGTTCGGATCCTGGGCGAGCACCGACACACCACTTCTCCGGCCATGCTGAGGCCGCGTCCCACATACAGCAACTAGAAGGATGTGCAACTACGACATACAACTATCTACTGGGGCTTTGGTGGAAAAATAAATAAATAAAATCTTTAAAAAAATTAATTTCATTAATATACTTTATTTAACCCAATATAGTCAAGACGTCATCATTTTAACATGCAATGGATATGAAACAACTTATTCATAAAGTGGAACTGGAGGCCACCTTGCTTTAACTGTTGTCTGTTTGCAAAAGTGGTTAGATAACACATTACTAAAACCCACTCTATAGATGACATCTCTGACGCTTGAGTCACCATGGTAATGAGTGCCTAAGTTTTTCAGGAACTGAGAGTTGACTCTTTGTCCAATTCAGGCTGGTTAAGACCACTGATTCATCAACTGGGGCTGCAGAGATGACCGATAGGTGACCCTTTGATGTCAAGGAACTGAAAACTCCACCCTCAGATCATGGTAATGCTGCCATTTTGTGAACATGCATCCTGTGAAGAGCCATGAAGCTTGACTGCCCTTGCACAGATCAGTTACCTCACTTGTCCTTACCTTCAATCATATATTCCCACATTTCAGACCTCCCCACCCTTTTATCCCATAAATATCCCTAATTTCCATTTTTGGGGGAGGTGTATTTGATACTGGTTCTCCCATCTCCTCACTTGGCTACCTTGTGAATTAAACCCTTTCTCTCCTGCAAACTCGTTGTATTAGTGATTGGCATAATCGTGTAGTGGGCAGGACAAAACTGGTTCAATAATAAAAGTATTTTACATTCTTTTCTGCGTGTGTTAAGTCTTTGAAATCCAATATGCATTTTGCCTGTATAGCAGATCTCCATTCAGACTGGTCTCATTTCTAGTGCTTGGTAGCCACAAGTGGCTGGTGGCTATGGTACTGAACAACACAGGTATAACATGTTAAGAACTAGTGCTTTATCTGGAGTAAGAGGAGATCTGAATAGCACAGACCATAAGAATCCTGGGAGTCCACGTACTGTGGCAAATTTGGAATGGATGCAGCTGTTTTGAGGATGATTCATTTTGAAGATGATCTAAAATGTCTACTACATTATTAGACAGAAGCTTTAATTAAAGTTGGGTGTGAACTCAGAAAGGCAGAGAACCTTTCTACATATTTCCTAATATCACTCCCTCAAAGTAAGATAGGCTGGGAATGACCAGACACTTGAAAAATGGATTTTTCCCGTATGCCTTTCATTGCAAGCATGTTGTGTTGGAATCCTTTGCTAAAATCTGGAAGCATCTGCTTTCACAGCTGACATCAGCCCCCAGATGGTTTAAGTAAGATGAATATAAACTAGGTAATTTGGATTTCTATCATATGGAAGGGGGGATGGGTAGGGAATCTGCCCATGACCCATTTGGATTATCATAGAACCAGACAAATCCCCTGGACTAGACAAGGTCAACATCTGCTCTTCCTACCTCTTCTACAATATTTATGATGCTCTACATCATGGATACTGAGAAAACCATTATATTTAAGTATCCATAATATTAGGCTAAATCACATGATGTGGCCATTTTTGCAAGTCAAAAACGCTCAGGCATCAGCATATCCAGAACCACTGCCTGTTCTTGTATGACCTATGGGCTAAGAATGGTTTTTACACTTTTCAAATGGTTAAAAAAATCAAAAGAAAAATAATATTTCATTGCATGTGAAAATTATATGAAATTCAAATATCTATGTCTATAAATCAAGTGTCATTGAAACACAGTAATTCCCTTCAGTTCACGTAAGGTCTGTGGCTGCTTTTGCACTGCAGCATAGAGCTGAGAAATTAAGGCAGAGACCATATGGTCCACAAAGCTGAGAATAGTTATTGTCTGGCCCTTTCCAAAAAAGCTTGTCCACCCTTGCCATAGGGTATTGGATATCGCATGCTTACTTATAACATCTCCTTACAAACCTAGACTTAAACTCTATATGAATACTCCCATCGTTTTTTAAAAATGAGCTTGAAGATCCTAAATCTCAGAGCAGAAGGGTGGATAAATCCAGGTCGTTGGAACATTATAAGCTACAATATTCCAAGCATGGAACCTCTTGGCAGTCAATCAGTGTAGCAGATGCTTGAAGTGTCCCTTAGCCTATGCATGCAGATAACTTACTGCATGTTTCTGTAAGGGGGTATTTTTCTGTTGCCTGTGCATGGTAGACCAGAAATGTTTGGGAGTTACACTAGGAATGGCTGTCAGGTAGTGAGGGATGCAGACTGGGGGATAAATAGCCCAGACTCCTTGCCCATATAAGCACATTCGCTACTGCTTCTTAGAGGGTCACCCACAGGATTCAGTGTCAGTTACCCAGAGTGGTAACCCCACATTTACACACCCTTCATTCACTCTTCTCGCTTCCCTCTTTGACACCTCACTCCCTCCCTTGTGCTTCCTGGGATCCCCTCCCAAACAAACTACTTACTTCTAAGTCTTTGTCTCAGTTCTGCTTTGGAGGAGAGCAACCAAGAGACTCATTATGAGGTTTTCTAATAGGACAGGCACACACAGTAATTTCTGGAGAAAGTGCCAAATTTGGAAGAGCAACCAAAGCTAGGATACTGTGATCAAGGGGAGAAGAGATAGGAATTCTTTGTTCCACTCACCTGAGAGCAGGGGCAGGCACTTGTGTCCCATAGCACTGAGATTCCAGGAACAACAATCTGAGAGACGCTCTCAAGCAAGACGTGGCAAGAGTTCCTGGAATGTACAAGCCCCATGAAAATCAATTTCTGAAGGTCACAGAGTTTAAAAGGCAGGTGGCCAATGTTTATCAGAACTCTTTCATTTCTGCCCATCTTTTGATCCAACAAGTCCACTTGTGGGAAATTATCCCAAGGAAAGGATCTTGGAAGGATGATCACAGCAGTGTTGCTTATAGGAAGCAAGTTTATCATCCAGCAAATGGGGAACAAAGAGGCATCTGATGGAATATCCTGTTGGAATTGAAAATCCTGGTCTATTGCAATCAGCCAGATCCAGAATGTGGAAAGCTCCACAGGACAAACTATCCAGTTTCTTCATCCAAAAAAAAAATTTTTCTAAAGGATAAAATATGCATAGAGGACATAGATTAAAAGAGACTTAGCAACATATCAACCAATTGCAGTGTCTTACAGGATCCCAAATGAAACAAATAATTTTTTAAAGGTTATAAGGCTGGAAATGTGATGATATTAACGAATGATTGTTCATTTTTCGTAGATATGATCATTCACTCTTAGTTTCCTCCCATGTCAACTCAGACAGCTGCTCCAAAGGAAGCTATAGGTATGATAAAATGGCTATGTTTAAATATATATCATATATATTTATGATATATGAAATCATATATCATATAAAACATATAAAAATATATATGTTAAAAATATCAGGACTGATATTTTTGAAATACATACTAAAATTTTTGCAGGTGAAATAATGTAATGAGTTGAATTTATGTCCATATAATAGGGGAGGGGGAGTACTTTGGGGCAGAAAGTGAGAGTAAATATGAAAAAATTTTGGCTAGAAGTTGGTCATTTTTAAAGCTGGGTGAAGGATCTGTGGGGTAAATTCCCATGCAACAAGGTACACTGTAAAACATCACACAATCCCCAACCCTGCAACACATCCCTCTTACGTATTAGTCTGGCTCTGACCCTGCAGCACATCCCTCTTATGTATTAATCTGGCTCTGAGAGACCCAAAGGCTTACCTAAAATAAATAAAGAAACAATAAAGATGGGATCCTTAAATTCCAGAGTTGAGCACACCACCTTCCAGCACACCTGCTTATTTTATGTCTAAGAATTATGGTCCCAGAAACTATAAATATCTACAAAAATGGTAAAATCTTACTGTGTCCTGAGGGTTTGGCTTGGTAATCATCAGGTGGGGGGCCCCAAAATACGGTCGAACAGAAATGTGGTTTGCACCTGATTAAAGAAAAAGAAAAGAATGAGACCAGAGTCCATGTGATGGTTACCATGATGACCTCAAGGCTGAACTAGGGGAAAAATAAAAAATTACGTTTTTAACCTTGACTGTCACCAGGTGGCTGGAGAACAATGCAGTAGCCTTTTCCTGCAGTTAGGACATTTAGAAACCCCGGACACAAGATACACTGTAGCTGGGAAGGGCGACCAATCAGAACTGGACTTAGCCTTGCAAACTCTGCACTTTTTGCCTCTAAAAACCAGCCACCCAAAGACTGATGGGGGCCTCACCTGTTGACTTGTGGGTTGAGGTGTACTTCCCAAGTTTGCAAACAATTTTTTTAAATAAAGCCTCTTTTTCTTTAAAATTTCATTTTGGTTAACACAGCCGTTTCCAGCTAAATATGGCTGGACAGGAAATGTGGATTAAACTCCATTTGTGGCTAGGATCCTACCAAACTGCTGCCGACTCTCAAGAGAATTACAATCTAGAATTGCAACGTCCATCATGAGGCAATTCCACTAGGTACAATCATTTAAGAAGTGCATTTAAAAGCAAGGCTCCCCAATTAAAAAATGGGCAAAAGATCTGAACAGACATTTCTCCAAAGAAGATATACAGACGGCCAACAGGCACATGAAAAGATGTTCAACATCATTAACTATAAGGGAAATGCAAGTCAAAGCTACAATGAGATATCACCTCACTCTTGTCAGAAGGGCTATAATTAACAAGACAGGAAACAACAAGTGTTGGAGAGGATGTGGAGCGAAGGGAACTCTCATACACTGCTGGGGGGAGTGCAAACTGGTGCAGTCACTATGGAAAACAGTATGGAGATTCCTCAAAAAATTAAGAATAGAACTACCATACAATCCAGCTATTCCACTGCTGGGTATTTATCCAAAGAATATGAAAACAGGAATGTGTAAAGATACATGCACCCCTACGTTCGTTGCAGGGTTATTCACAATAGCCAAAACTTGGAAGCAACCTAGGTGCCCATCAAGAGACAAATGGATAAAGAAGACGTGGTATATATACACAATGGAATATTAGCCAAAAAAACAATGAAATCTGGCCATTTGTGACAACATGGATAAACCTTGAGGGTATTTTGCTAAGCAAAATAAGTCAGAGGGAGAAAATCAAATATTGTATGATCTCACTCATAAATAGAAGATAAAACAACAATAAACAATCACATAGAGACAGAGTTGGATTGGTGGTTACCAGAGGGGAAGAGGGGAGGGAAGAGGGCGAAAAGGGTGATTAGGCACATGTGCATGGTGATGGATTGTAATTAGACTTTTGGTGGTGAACATGATGTAATCTACGCAGAAACTGAAATATAATGATGTACACCTGAAATTTATATAATGTTATAAACCACTGATACTGCAATAAAAAATAATAAATAAATAAATAAATAAATAAACAAATAAATAAATAAATAAAATAAAAGCAAGGGCTCCCAACTTAAATAAACAGAATGGGACTCCCATTTTAATTGGTATGTAGAAGCTTCCAAAAGGCTTCAAAATTCCAAAATAGCTTCATTGAAAGACTTGTTGTAAAAGGCTAATAAAAAAATTAAAGTTATAAGTACCTAAAAATAAACCAAAAAAACCCCCAATACAACTAATATAACTCCTACAGCTTCCTTCTAACCTCCTTTATTTGAGTACTCATTCTAGTAATCCTCTAAATTGTCTTTACCTAACTGTAAACAAAAGTCCACCAAGTTAATGACTTTACAGACACCCTATATCTATCCTTGAAGGAAGGCCCCCATCTGGGCCCCATTCCAGCATAAGTTGGTTTATGCTAATGTGGTGGCTTTTGGAGAGCACCTAAGGGGGGCTGGTTGCCAGTGGAGCCAGCCAAGAGATTAGAGATTTGGAATTTTCAGTCCCACCCCCTGATATCCAGGGAGGGGAGAGGGG